AGTGCAGGTGACAATAGGTAATAATGATTGCTGGCAGTGCAGGTAGGACAGGTGAGAAAAGGTCATGATTGCTTGCAGTGCAAGTGAAGGTTATCGGGTCTTATTAGATACACTGCATCCAGTCTACAGGTACTGTTGCTGTGTGGTGAGTAGCTTCTGCACCATAAGCAGATTCAAGTACCACACAATCACTTCACTCAGGTCCAGACAGTAGCCATTACTACAAGTGCAACATGTGGTTTTAGTAATACATGTTCTTATTGATGAACAAAAACATGAATACAGAACATCAGTAGACACATTTTAAACAGCAGCAGTTCCGTAGAGGTTTGTAGTGGCTTTAACCTAAGACTTTACACTGTGCCTTCATACTGTAAAATATGTAATCAAATAAATGATTGTTTTTAAGACTTACCAAAAAATAGAAGTTTTTACATTTTGCTTTGAAGTCCTATTTGAGATGGATGAGGCTAGTGAGACCACTAAAACAGCCCCAATCGTTGTGCTGCTCTCGATACAACGGTCAATGTATTGAGAAAGCCAACGAACAAGAGAAATCCGTGGATGCTATAAAATATGGATAGCTTTATTCTCGGCTGTTATTCTGCTTTAAATATGTTAATCTGTTGCTATGTTTTTCCCTTAAACTAGAAAAACACGTAGGGGGGAAAGTTTATATATTTCTTTAAGAGACTTTCCACAGCAGCTTACAGAATACACTATCACAGTCATTCGTTTGCTTTAGATCCTGTAATCTTATTGGTGTCTGTTTTTCATTTTGATTGCCTTCTGGAAATTCTTTATGCATCAACTACTGAGCCAGAAATAATCCCGTATCTACTCTTTCCCAGCTTTCTTTGAGTTAATGGACAAGTAGCGGTGTTTTTGGCTTTAGGACTTCACTTGAGAGCTCTGAAAAACAGCATTGGGTTGGGCCACAATTAGTGATCTAAGAGTAACGGAAGAGCTGACGGAAGAGATTTCCATCTTCTGTTGTTTTAAGGAGATGTCATATCTAAGCATTGCAATGCTTATTGTCAAAATCCAAACCAATGTTATCTGTTATCTGTCTCAATCTTAGCTTTCTTTCTTATTATCAAACATTTAGCCCTTCCAGGCACCATGTTCTATGATGTAGGCTTTTATTTGTTCTTATCATTTTCCATATCCTGTTTTTTTGTGCTCATTACCAACAGGGACATTTTAAATATGTCACCGTCTTTGCTTTCTTATTTCTCAAGAAGCAAATGACATCGTCATGACTTGTGGAAACAATAACACTGTTTATCTTCTTAGATGCCCTGATCTAAGAATTCTTTCTCTGGGATCGCACACTGTTCCCCTTAATCAGTACATTGCAAACCACAGGGAGATTTGAGATTTTCCAGCCAGCAAAACCAGCACACAAAGCTTGTTGTCTTTGGAGATGTTCAATTATATAGTGCAGCTGATTGCTGAAGTATTCTAACTTAGACATGGCTGGTACAAAGAGGGACAGTTGTCTCCTTGGAAACAAACCTTCTAATTATGCAATACCCGAAGGCTGTCAATGGTCACTAATAGGAAATGCTATGCAGGTAGGATTTCTACTCTATATGCTTGGACATATTCATTTGTGTGCTGGCTGTCACAATGCATTAAAGTGAAACATGATACTTTACACAGTTCTAACCAATCCTGAAAGAAAGCAGGCTACCTTTACACAGTGCCCCCTGGCACAATTTCCTCATAAATGTAGAACATTTAGAATAATAGAAATCTATTCTCTATTCCTACACCGGTCGTTTTGAGTTTTTGAGAGATCATATGAATTTCAGCATTTGCTTTTGTTTCGGGTTCTTTAGATGTGAAAGTGGAAGAAATAAGCTTTGGCATTTGAATGTTGTAGCACGCAGTAGCCATTACTACGAGTGCAACATGTGATTTTAGGAATACATGGGAAACAGCCGCTACTTCTTGCGCAATCCAGACTCGCGCTCTTAGGAAGAAACTTACATTCTTTTTCAGACTGGCTTTAAAACCTGATGTAGAAAGAAAGGCATGTTTGGACATGACCAGCTTGTGACCTAAAAGTGCCAGGCATCAGAGATTCAAATTAGAATTGAGCAGAATAATGGAAAATGGTGAATTTTTGTCCCGTGGATATATAAGACATTTCGCCCATTTCAGGAACTACAGTACTTTAAAGTTAATTTTTTTCTGCAAAAAATGATGCTGTTAAAAATAACTCTAAGTCAATTAAGTAAACAGGTTGCTTATTTTTTAAACAAAATGTACTGTATGTTTATGATGTTTTCAAGTAGGTTTCAAAAGGGCAAAAAGATTGAGTAGCATTTAGAAAACCGAGAAGGCTGTTTGAGGTCTGAGAAAAAGGCAAGCTTTAAAGGGTACAGAAATGGAAATGCAGGAGCAGTGTATGTAGTTTGGTGATTTTTTTGCTGGATTATACAAATTTTGTTAAACCAAAAATTCCAAAACTAAATCTGTGTCAGTTCCTTACCAGTGTTTCCTTACTCGTTTCCTGTCTTTAATATTTAGAACTATTTCCAATAAAACAGGAGCTGGTGTTGATCTTCTACACAATGGATTTGAAATTAGTCTGATAATTGCCATAAGAATTTTCCAGTAATGGCTGGAAGAACATAGAAGAGTACTGTTATTACTTTAACTGGTGGTATAAATAAAAAGTGTGGTTAAACCATTAAAAATGGAATAAACATTCTGTTTATTTTTGTGGCTTTTATTTGACCTCCAGAGCACATCTATGCTTTCTCAGCAATGCTGGGGCTCAGTATTTTTTTTCCATTTCTTCCTCTATGTATATCCCTGCACACCTTTTTCATTTTATTAACTTGCTCTTGGACTTGGCATAGGGGACCCCAAAGGAACCTGGGGGTTCAGTAACCCCAGTGAGAAGAGCTTCTCAGGCTGAAACAGAAGGGAGATCCATTGTCAGTGTTTACAAAAAAAAAAGCCTTCTTAAACTGATGACTTCTCAAGATGGTGCCATTTGCTTATTTGCTGCGAATGAAGCCCCCAGAGTGCTTTAGTTATTTTCCCAGAGCAAAAAGATATTTAACCTGAAAACTAATATGTAAACAGTTAATGTGCTCATTTTACTACTTCTTTCTCTCAGCAAAAGCCTTACCTACTGTGTGTACAGTCTCGGTTACTCGTGGAATCTTTAATACAGTATGTTTCCATAGTACAACAGTTTTTTTTAAACAACTCAGCATAAATTCCTATGATATGAACCAGTGAAAAAGGGTCAGATTTCTTTGTGTAGTGCTAAGGCGAAGAGCAGTAGATGAGAAACGTATGTTTTGAAGGTTATTAAAAAAGTAGCAGCTTCTTATACCCAGGTGTCTTTTTGAAAGCTTTACCGTTAGAAGCACTGCCATTCTTCTTAACTAGGAAAATAATAATAGAAACCAGCTCTGGACCTTTCCAGTAGACTCCCCCTCAAGCTTCAATGATAAGTGTACATGTATTTCGTAACACCGATTTCAAAGAAATGGATGTACAGTATCAAACACATGACTAACCACTTGCCCTTTGTGTCTTTTTTTACAGGATTGCTGGCTCAATCTGATGGTCAAGAAGGCTTCAGGATGTAACCAAATCTTACAATGCAATATGTAAACGAGGACAAACACATTCACCTGACACCTGGATACTCCACAAACACTGCCCCTTCCAAGCCACACTGCAGACGTCTTTTTCAGTAGACCCTCAGAAGCCTGCATGCAAGGAGATCTGATAGAGTGAGGTGTTGCACACAGGGAAAGGTGGAAAACACAGGAGGCCTGGGAATATAGCACTTCTTTTGGAAAAACTGTCAAACCACAACAGATCGTGCTGATCTGTGGAATTTTGTGGCTTCCGGTCCCTCCATATTGGGGAAATTCAACTTTTTGCATATCCTCACCCTTTCAGATCCCTTTCCTCTCTTTGTGCTGAGGTACAGTAGTCCCTGTGGTTTTTTCGCTGTGCGAGCTGCAGCGATGGACTTTGAAGGGAGGCTCCATCACTCCTGCCTGGTGTCTGTGCCACCTGCCTCACCATGCTAGCACATGACTCCCTGATCTACATTGTGCTGGAGCTGGTGATTGCCGTGTTGGCGGTGCTGGGCAATGTGCTGGTGTGTTGGGCCGTGTGTCTGAACAGCAATTTGCAAAGCATCACCAACTTCTTCGTGGTGTCTCTGGCGGTGGCCGACATCGCCGTGGGCGTGCTGGCCATTCCGTTCGCCATCACCATCAGCACCGGCTTCTGCGCCCACTTCCACGGCTGCCTCTTCATCGCCTGCTTCGTCCTCGTCCTCACCCAGAGCTCCATCTTCAGCCTCCTGGCCATTGCTATTGACCGCTACATCGCCATCAAGATCCCTCTCAGGTAACAGGACTGCACTTGCAAAATTATTCCTGAGCATCTCATTAGATTATGCATTTAATTAAGTATTTTATAACACATGCTGTACAATCTGATCCCATCTTAGAGTAGATTTGTCCTGTATGATCCTCTACTATTGTTTAGAATCCTGTAGAACGTGCTGTAGGATCTTGAATCCTGCAATATAACAGCAAGCTAATAAGAAATGTTCTGATAGAAATACTAAGTACCCCATGATAACTGTAGGATTCTACTGAACACAGCCTTTCCTGTTTCCTAGTAAAAGGTTGTGGTGGCTTGCCAGCGTCCCTGCGCATCAGTTATTAGGCCTTTCATAAGAGAGTTATTCGGCCCGTCCAAGAGAGAAGAAAAGCATGAGGAAGACACAAAGGGTCCTAGAAATTGGTTTTCTCTGAAATCTCCAGATATACAGTACAACAGCTCTTTCTTTAGGCTGATGTCTTGTCCGTCTTTTTTCCCAATGGCGTGATTTTAGCATTGTTATAAAGCCCCATGCGTATTGTGAAAAGAGCTGTGGTAATTCTTCATGCCCCATATGAACACTTTAATATGTCTTTCTGGCTCGTAGAGCTAAAGGGGTACTAGGCACGCAAAGGATACACAACGCTCAAATTCTGGCAATGTCTGTAAATAACCTCTGACATACCTAGGACCTTTAACCTCAAGCAAATGTTATTTTGCTTCAAGGGTCAAAATACTAATCTTTGAGTGGAATCTAAAGCTTTTTTCCCCCTGAGGCATTCCTGATAACTTCTGTGAAAGGCACTAGCAGCCAAACCTCCTGATGAGGAATGAAGAGTAGCTTGTGCTTTTGTTGGGAAATGTGCTCCTCGGAGTCAGCTGTCCTCCTAGTGTAGTTAATTCTAATGCTTTCTGGGAAGAATACAGGGTAGATGGCACCACAGGCATGTTTTCTGACATCAGAGCACAGAATGTGTCAGAGATCAAAGGTACTGTACTTTTTCATGTGGTAAAAACAATAAGCCAACATTACAATACAAATGCTCTGATTTATTGTTATGGCTTGGTACTGTAATGTAAGAATTCATTTATAATTTGCATTAATTGAAGCATCCTACAGAAAGTACTTCTTTTTGGCCCCTGGGCACCAGTGGCCATTAGTAGTGGACAAGTCCCTCACCTGTACAGCCTGAGGGGTGTTCCTGCCTTGCACAGGGCATGTTCATCTGCTGAGGTTCTTGGTATTGCCTTATTAAAAAATTAAAAAGGGCACTGCTACATTTGGAAATATAATTATTTCTCAGAGTTTTCTATTTAACCTGCTGTGAGTATCTGTTGCTGCTGTTCTAGTAGCAGTGAGTGTATCCAAATTGACTATTGCATTTCCTTTGCTGCACGTAGAAATTCCACAGAATCCACCCTCTGGGGCTCTAATTGAACTGCTTGGGTGATGAATGGCTCTGAGTATGACACAAAGCTTCAACAAGTACAGACCCGCCCACAATTTCCCAGGTGTGTGAGAAACTGTTAGGTTTTAATTGAACTGAATAGGTGATAAATGGCTCTGAATATGAGCCATACTGTAGGTTCCACTCATAGAGACCTGCTCATAGGCTCCCAGTACAAAGAGTGCAAGAATCACTTTTAGTTACACAGGCCACAGGCCCACTTTGTGATGTGTAATTAAAATGTAATAACATTGTTATATTTTTATAGCCCTTGAAGTGAAAAGACTGTTATGACAAACACAATCACATTTGCTATTTTGCAGATTAATCTCTCCAGGCGACTAAAACATATGTAAAATGGGTCACCCTGACCTACTCAGAGGAGATTTATTTTTAATCAGAGGTGCTCAAGTTGTGAATGGTTTGTTTGATGTTTGAGCACCTACAGTAAGTCTACTATTGTTTTCAGTGCTAGAGTCTCATGAGAACCAGTAAAAGCCAACTTCAAGTTCATGTACAGTATGACTTCCCTTATGCAAACAAGATTTTCCTGCAGGGCGTTTTGCTCTGTTATAGTAAATAAACAAATTTAAGCCTTAATAAGTTAAACAGACTGTGATTATTAAAACTGCTTTGCTAAACAAAGCTGTAGTTGTATGTAGTCTCCGCCAGTCTGTTTTGGAAGATAATCCAAAGTTTACTTTCCCCATAACCGTGAAGTATGATGTGTTTAGCCATCACTGGGCAAAAAAGAATGGACAAATGTTGGAATATGTGCTAGTTTGGAAATCTTCAGACTACTCATTAAGTCTGCCTTATTAACATACAGGAAGTGCTTCTGAAGAGGCCACTACAGAAGGATGACAGGAGCAGAGTGAGAATGATTAGTGATAAGCTCATTCGAATGCGTGTCTTTTTGTTGTGGGTTCTCCAGAGCAATTCTTGACTAATCCCTGTTTGTACGATCAGTGTGGTAGGAAGCATTGCTTTCTGTTTCAATTTTTTTTAAGGTGGATTCTTTCATTTTCTCAGTGGTATTTGCACTTTCCATTCAGTGTTGTTGTGTCCTGTAAACCAGGCGTAGTGACCAATGAGTCAAGGATTGAATTTGGAGAACCTATCAAAAAACACTCCGCAGTTGTCCTGCAGTGTCCAGGAGGCAAACCTATATCAGACTCATCTTTGAGCTATAGACATTGTATATGTATACATTGTATACCCATTCCTGAAATTCACGTGCCAGCTAATTGTCCCATAAAAACCAATCAGACAGGTATCTAAATAAATATAAAATCACAAAATTAAGGTTAGAAAATAAGGTTACATTATAATAGATAATAATGCAATAGAAATTGAATAAAATAAACTCAGACAAAACTCAATATACTGTAAATACAGCTTACTAGGAATTTGTGAATCAGGCCAGGTGTTACCCTGCAAATCACAGTTAGCAGCCCACTGAAGCTCAGCAGGAGGGAGCCTGGCCAGTACCTGGATGGGAGACTTCTGGGAAAGCTCCCTAGAGCTGGAAGAGGTGATAGTGGGACCAGTAGGGGGCGCTCACCCTGCAGTCAGTGTGGGTCCTAATGCCCCAGTATAGTGATAGTGGATACTACACTGGGGAAAAAAGCGCCGTCCTTTTGATGAGTCATGAAACTGAGGTCCTGACTCCCTGTGGTCATTTAAAATTCTAGGGCGTTTCTTGAAAAGAGATGTTACTCTGGTGTCCTGGCCTCCTGATAATCCCAATCTCTGAACTGGCTTCATTACTCTGCTCTCCTCCCCATTGAGAGCTGGTGTGTGGTGGCACACTCTGACTGCCATCGTGTCATCTATGTGGGGGCTGCACACTGGTGGTGGTGGTGGTGGAGGGGAGTCCTCATTACCTGTGAAGATCTTTGAGTGGAGTGTCCAGAAAAGAGCTATATAAGTGTAAGGGTTATTATCAGATTCAGCATCTGGGCAGTGTGCCCCATACTCCTACAACCGTTTATGTTAAAGACATTCCTTATAAGAAAATACTTTTAAGATTTTTGCTCATTTTTTTAATATGACTTGTTAAAACAAAAATATTTCATCTTCTGCCCATTCCAGACTGAGTTTTACATCTTTTTATTTTGACCATTTCAAAATGTTTTTCTTGGAAGTGTCAATACTATGCACTGTGGGGTATGTTTGGTCTACAGAAATGTGTCATTGTGCTAAAAGCACATTTCAGCAAATGTTCATTGCATTCTGTCCTGTTCTAAAACAGCGCAGCTCTGTCACAGACCAGCTGAAAGAGACTACAGTGCATTAAACTTGCCCTTTAAGATGGTGGGTGATTTACAGATGTGATGGATTAAATAGTGGCTACTGACTGGTATTGATTACCCACTGCTTTGCTCTGGGCATTTCACTTTAATTTCCACTGATTGGGAATTTTCATTTCAACAAGGTGGCTAGAGGCAAAACAGCAGAATAGCGTTCTTAGTGTTTTTGATTAACTATCACCTTATTTAGAGGGATCTTAATCTTTTGTTCTTTTTAAATGTTTGTCATTTGTAAAAAAAATCTCAGATGTGTCTGATTTTAATCCATGTCGGGATTCTTTGTTAGATCAGTGTGAGGAGAAATGTGATGTGAAATGTAATCTTTTTATGGAATATATAAAAAGAGATGTGATTTTTTTCTCAGTGCATTGGTCCTTTTAATACTGGGCACAAGCAACACTGAGTTCCCTGATCCAAACACTCACTGACGTGTAATGCTTCTGTGATAAGCTTTTATCTTTTTGAAACATGTACCTTACATTGCAGGCTAAAAATTGAATAAATGTCATGTCATTTGCCAAACCGCTTTATACCATATGGTGTCTTGAGAAGCCAGTGTCTACCCAGCAGGCAGCGGGCGCAAGGCAGGGTTCTCCCTGGACAGGGCGCCAGTCCATTGCAGGGCCAGTGCAAGCCAGTCATACATGGGGACAGTTTGGAGGCCACGGTAAAGGCCGAAGGGGGAAATTTGACCCGGACACCGGGATAACTCCTTACTCTTTTCGAGAAATGCCCGGGGATCTTTAATGACCACTGAGAGTCAGAACCTCAGTTTAACGTCTCAGAGACGGTGCCAACTACAGTATAGGGTCCCCTGCCACTATACCAGGGCATTAGGATCCACACAGACCGCAGTGTGGGCGCCTCCCGCTGGTCCCATTAATGCCAATTCCAGCAGAAACCATAGCTTTATCTATATCTATATCTAAAAGATCTATGACATACATTGATCTTATAAATAATCAAGATCTTATACCACTTTATGTCTAGAATGGAAAAAACTACAAAGCTTTTTTCTTTATTGTCCCTCATGACTAATAATCTTCTCAAAGCCTAAGACCAACAGAAGGAAATTAAACAATTGCTTCCAACTTACAGGTTTTTGGTGCCATTGATTAAGCAGAGATTCTGTGTGTCCGAATCTGAAAGCAGGACTGGATACTGAGAATTTCATGTACTGGAGAGACTACCAAAACGCAATCCTTCTAAGTGTTAGGTATTTATAGTGGGAAGTGTGGTTGAAATCTAGGGTGTAAGATGGACAAGTTATGATCATATTCTCTGTTGTGTGAATCATTAAGATTTGCCTGCAAACTGTGTTGAGAATATATTACAGATAATTGAATGTTCTTTTAATTGTATTAAGTATATAAATAATAGCAGTGCTCTCACTCATTTGCCTTTAGGTTTCACATTTGTTCCTGAATTGAATGTCCTTGTTTAATCTTGTTTCAGGTACAACAGTCTGGTGACTGGCCAGCGGGCTAAAGGGATAATTGCCATCTGCTGGGTTCTGTCAGTCATTATTGGGCTGACGCCCATGCTGGGTTGGAACAAGTGCACCAACTCAAGCAACACCTCCCAGACCTGCCCTGAGGGCATGATGGCCTGCCTGTTTGAGGAGGTGGTCACTATGGACTACATGGTGTACTTCAACTTCTTTGCCTGTGTACTGGTACCCCTGCTGCTAATGTTGGGCATCTACTTGAAGATCTTCATGGCCGCCCGGCACCAGCTCAAGTTGATTGAGCTCAAGGCCGTTCACGGGGAGAAGTCCCGGTCCATCCTGCAGAAGGAGGTCCATGCGGCCAAGTCCCTGGCCATCATCGTGGGGCTCTTTGCTGTCTGCTGGCTTCCTCTTCACATCATCAACTGTTTCACCCACTTCTGTCCTCACTGCCCTCGTCCTCCTAGCTGGATCATGTACCTGGCCATCATCCTGTCCCATGCCAACTCTGTGGTCAACCCTTTCATCTACGCCTACCGCATCCGGGAGTTCCGCCTCACCTTCAGGAAGATCATCAGGCGCCACGTCCTGGGCCGCAAGGAGCAGTTTGAGGGCGGCAGCGCCAGCACCAGGACTTCCACCCACGCAAGCGTGGCGGAAAACCCCACAGGCAAAGCCAACGGCTGCCCGCTGGATTTGTACACCGAGCGCCAGGGCGGACAGCTCTGTAACGGCCACAGGCCACCTGGGGAGAACCCCCCAAACAGACAGCTGGGCGTAAACAAGGCCCACTCAGGATTCATCCCCAACAGCCATCTTGTGGACATTCCATTGTCGTCGCCACGGAAACAGCAGTCTCAGCGCCAGCAGCACAACAGAGGCCTCGCTTTTTGTACAGAGCTGCCTGATGTGAAAGGGACCAAGGAGCTGTGTACAGTTCAGGTCAAATCGCTGTTTTATGAAAAGGCCACTCAATGTCCAGACCTCACACAAGTGTCCTGATATTTTTATCAGGACTGTATCCATCAGGACATGAAGCTGTCTTGCAGTATTTATTGTCTCCTGTCTTACATGAGGAAAGAGGAACCTAATGTTCTGTGTACAATGAACTTGAAAATCGGAACAGACGACATTTTAGGTTCACCTTGCACTGAGGGAATGTGGGTGCAAAGGTCAGAGTTCAAGCTGAAAGTTGCGGGACACTACCTTTGTCACCCTGTGTTTCACAAACCACTGATTTTGGAGGAGGAGTTGAGAATGAATATTTAGGCTTAAAGCCGTTCGCTGTCCAAGTGTTATTACTGTTCCTCAAACTGAGATTGAAATTATTTTTTAATATTTAAATGAAGACATGCCTGAGGTATATGTACAGAAGCACTGAGATATTAGGAAGCAGCTTTCTGTCCCACAGGTTACAATAAACCTTAGTCTGAGAGGATTTTCAAGAGGCTGCTTAAAGTCTTAACCACTCTGGGGAAAGTCTAAAAAATTCCCATTTGGAAGACCAGCCCCGGCCTTAGGCTGTGACCGTAACACTTCCAATAATAATTATTTAAGGAAGAAGAAGCCAAGTTAACTTTTATGTGGATGTTTTGTTGTTTTTTTATTTATATATTGTTGTTTATACATTTTTAAATGATTGATAGCCTATAATTAGGCACAGATACAGATCCCTAATTATATTCTTGCTTGAGCACCCCTTCATGTTAGAAGTGCCTGTCTGACGCATTTGTTCTGTAATTGTGGTGGTAACAACACGGAAGGTCGGCCATCACCACATTGTAGGGATGAGCACAAGGTCACATAATTAGGGGTCTCTGCTATTTATTCAGAGTTGACTGGAGGAGATGTTTTGTAGCCAGACTTTTTCCTAAGGATACGATTTCTCCCTGTCATTTCCACTTCAGTTTTTAACCACATCTTGTTTCCAAACAAGTGCATTCTTAGTATCAGATGCAGTATTGAGTATTCAGTCTGTCTGTTGTTTAGCCAGCAAGGAGAAGAAAAAAAATCATTGTTAATCAATTAGGCACTCTT